CAAAGGAGATGTTTTTACCTCTACACATATCATCCCTTCTCATTCCGACAGGTACAGATGACCCAGCAATTTCCATTCCGTAATTCACATCTACGCACCAGCAAAGTCGATCATCACATTGAATTGGAGAAAACTAAATTCGCTTGTGAAAAAAAGTATATCAAAGTGCAGAAGGATGTTCAAAGCTTACTTTTCCACTAGGGTCGCATTTTGGGACATAGCCATACTTCAGCTTTTGCTCGGGAAGTTTCTTTACTGCTATTGCGAAGTGTACGCAGTCTGAATGAGAAGAAATCCAAGGAAATACGACATAACTTCATCGTGGGAAGTAAAAAAATAATCGTTTATGAAGATATCAAAAAGTAAATGGTGGTGCATGAAATCATAAAAATTCTCAAATCAATGCTACCAAGAATTTGGAAGTTCTTTTGTCAAGTTCAAGTTTGGTATGCTAATTGATTTTTGACTTACTTGTAGCTTTCGTGGGATCCACACATACGGAACCGCAAGCATTCTTACAACATTTCTCGACATCCTTACATTCGGAGTCATCCGAACACTTTGTGTAGGCTGAAAACGAGCCACTGAGCATTTTTAGAGGTAGTTACAACAAATTTTTCTTACTTGTGCAAGCTTTCTCGTCTCCAGCGGGAGGACACATACCAGCTTTTGTTTGTGGGATAGATGTCTTAACCGCAAAAGATCGATCTGGAATTTGCTACTGTTGATTTTTCAGACGATGTAAGGAGATCAATTTTCTATATTAATATTTTTGAGAAAAGAGTTACACCGACCTATCATAAGCGATACTGGAGATATGGTAGCATTTACTGGACGTATTGGCTCACTTAATGCAGGAAGAACATTTGCAGTAGCTGTGATTAAGCGATGGAAGGACCTTGCTTCAAAATAAGACAGTCATTAGTATAAAAAAAGGCCTACACAGCTTTCGCAGAAAAATCAGACATTTTCTCACCTTGTATAGGCTGTCCAGTTAGTTGGGTTTCTATAGGAAATCCTGACAATGGAAACATACATTCACGTCCACAACCATTTG